GACCAGCATGCCGACACAGTGGCAACCGCCTGACCATGGCATCATCAATTTCTTCAAGGTGGGCTACAGGAGACGACTTCTTGATAGGCTGCTGGTCAACCTCGGCATGGACACTGAGCTGGAGGTTGACCTTCTTGATGCCATACAAGTAATGATAGGTGGCTGGCGAGACGTGAAGACGGACGCAGGGGTCAACTGCTTCCGCAAGGCAGGCTTCGAGACAGTGGAACTTGGGGAAACCGGTAAAGGCTGCGACGATGAGCGCATTGACGATGCGTTTCGCGAGTTGTCATCCTTCTTACCGGCTGCAGTTTCACACAAAGTGTCTTTGGACGATTTCGTGGAAGCGGACTGCAATGTCTAGGCTGTTGCGAGCCTCTCTGACAAGGACATAGTAGCTGTGGTTTCAGGGACCCAGGATGCCGAGGCCTATAGTTCAAGTGATCAGGAGGATCGTCCGGACGAGGCGCTGGCTACACGCTCATACTCAGCCACTGAAGTTGGCAGTAGCGTTAGGCGTCATTTACTGTTGTATCGGCGACATGGAGGGAAGAGGGCTGTCACACCTGCACTGCCTTGATAAGATAAAAACTAGCGTCTTCAACTTCATTTTAAAAACAAAAAAGCAGGCCAAGATAAGCGATTTTTTTTTCACACAAATAAATCATTCTGTTGCAGCGTGTGTGGGGAATTAGTTGTCATTCTTGAATGTGCCTATTGTAAGTGATGGTCCACTACAGGTAAGCTCTCGAGGCGTGTATTTTTTTATATTGAATTTTTTATACATCGAACTAATTTGTGATCCTCATCAAGTTCGATATATCCATGTTCGACTGTATCATTATCGATGGTAGGCCTTCAAACATAGCTCCTTGCTAGTTCTTTGGTGCACACAAGACCTGGATGACCTTGGTGTGACTCGAACGTGCGAAATTTTTTGAGGATGAGTATTTGCATCCCAAGCATAACATCCTCGATGTATAGACTGTTGGAGTCGTCCATGGAAAAAAGGTATGATCTTCTCATGGATACTGCGTGACCAGCCTGACAAAATGTACTGTGTCACTGTACACACTAGAGCATCACGTGAAGTTTCGCTAGCTATGTCATCGCGTTTGACCGGCATAGTGTCAAAGCGAAGGCCATAAAAGGATTCTTCCGATTCTTCCTGGTCTTTGACAGTTGGTTGTGCGACTGGAAGCTTTGATGAACAATCTGTGTCAGTGTTTTGCACAGAAGGCTGGAACATTAATGAAAAGGATTAGGTGGACAAACCAACTGCCTGTAATTGTAGTCTTGAGGCAGCAACTGGTGGTATGACCGAAAATTGTAGCCAATTGCTTGTGGTCGGTGAGCAAAGCAAAACACCTTGCATACAGGTAGTAATGAAACATTTTCACACCGAATACAAGGTCTAGCGCTTGCTTTTCTAGCTGCCTATAGCCCTTCTCAGCTTGGCTCAAGTTGTGCAGGGTATAGGCTACTGGCTTGATATGACCGTTCGGGAACACCTGTGACAAAGATGCACCTACCTCGTAATCACACGCATCACAAGATAACATTAGGGGTGTGCCAAGATGGGAGCAGATGAAAGCAGCTTCTTCATTTGCTGCAAAGCATGATTGCAATCTTTATTCCACTTCTAGGCTATGTCTTTTTGTAGGAGCCTGTTCATGGAAAAGAGAACAGTAGATAAGATTGGAACAAACTTCTAGTAATTTCTAAGACCAAGCTGTGACTGAAGCGGGTGCTTATCGGCTGGTGCCGGTGCCTTGGCTATTGTGGCCAGTTTGTCATCTGTTGGATGCATGCCGTCTCTGTTGATTATACGGCCCAAATACGTCGGCTCATCGTGATAAAATTTGCACCTTATTGGCTTTACGGGCAAGCCCCATTCTGACATCGTGAAAAAGAAACAGCGCAAAAAACGGGAGACCAGACGAAGAAAGACATACACAGAATGCTGACTTAAAACGGAAGCTTTATTCTTCAAACCACGCATATATACTTATGTAGTGGAACAAAAAAACAAGAAACACAAGTGATAAGCAAAGAAAAATGAAAAATGAAGATTATGAAACCAATTCTCATAGCTCGTGCAATCAGCCAGATAAGAAGACAACTTCCTTTTCTTAAAGGGCAATCTTTTCAAAACTACATCGAGGCTTCGCAGATGCTTTTCTCTTCAGCGGCCTGTAATCAAGATGTCGTCGATCTAGCAAAACACAAAGTTCAGAACCTTCAAGACGTTATCTATGATCTCCTGGAAAATTGCGGGGGCAGATGTGATCCCGAAAGGCAGATGATTTACGGCGTAAAGTCTCTTGTGTGTGTTGAGCATGAGGTACCGTTTTGAAAGCGGGTTCATTTCCACCTGTTGGTAAGCCCCTGTTGAGATCAGTTTTGAAAAATATCTGTCCCCCAGCTAGGGCTGCAAACAACTCATTGGGCTTAGGCAATGGGTTATGTTCTACGTCGCGTACGGGGTTGAGCATCAAGTTGTAATCACAACATACTCATCGATTCGACCCATCATGCTTCTTGACTGGCACTACAGGAGTGGCGTACTCGCTATTTGTTACCGGCACCAACACGCCCATCTGTACCTGTATTGACAGCTCATCTTCTTCTGGTGCGTTCAGTGAAAATGGCACACTGTGGGCTTTGAAAAATTGTGGTGTTTTACCTTCCTTAAAAATGACTTTCTTTCTCCCTCAGATGGTTCCTAGCTTGTTTGATAAAACATAAGAAATTGTCAAGCAAGCTTTGCAACTCAGGGGGAGGTTCCGCACTTAGAGATGGTTCAGAGAACTGCTTTAGCCCGTGGACTTTGTTCCCGTTGACGCAAATTTGCTGAAGCCAGTTGTGCCCAGACTATGCTGGACCACTTTGAGGAAGCACGTATAGTGGTGACCACTGGTATTGATAGTTATGCTCAACTTGTAGAAAAGCAAAACTGCATGGCTTCACAGGTTCCCCAGTATAGCTCCTCAGCTTTAGGCTAGTCCTCCTTAGTGGCACTGACGGGAAAAATGAATGAAATTGACTCGGGAGTGTTACCGAGACAGGAGCTCCTATTTCAAGCTCCATTTGTAAAGGACTCTTTTCTACAATTACGCTAAGCATAATAGGCTCTCCTGTTTCAACCTCCCTGGCCACCGCACTTCAAAGGGGCTGTTCCAACGGCTGCAAAACTCGAACGTGTGAGGCTGTTTGCTTTCCCTTATGCTGCTGCTGCTTCCGATACCAGTATTCTTGTAGAATATGCCCTTTCTTGTTATAGAAAAAAAAATCAGGTCGCATTAATGCAATTAATGCACAGCTGTGCTTTTGCCTTGTGGTTTGAATTACAGCGGAAGCATTTCGTTGTTTCCTTAGTCGGCAACTGATGAACTTCGAACTCGCTACCGGGCGTTGAATGCATAGCAGTAGCATTAACAAGCGCAGTTTCAAAGGCTGAAGCATGAACAGCTCATTTAAATGGTAGTTGCTTGTCCTCTAACACCTAGTGTCTCTGAATGTAAACTCACAGTAAACAACAAACAGATCTGTCTCTGAGTGGCTCATCAAAAACGCACTGAACTCGTACGCTTGGGCCGGTGCCTGTACCAAGTACTGCTGTATGGTTTCATGTTCTTTCTGAATTCGACAATGAAACTTCGATCGCTCGCCTATGACTGACCGTTCAGGGGATTAATGTTTATAGAGCAGCTCGCACAAGCTTTCCAGAGAATGTGAGGATGGCTTTGTTGGGGCGATAAACCACTTAAGAAGCTAATAAGTCAGCGGACCTACTATACTGATGAACACAGAAGCATCTACCTTCCATTCATCACGGACATCGTTGGCTCGAAGACAAGCCTGCTCACGCTCCTCGTAGATAATCCAATCACCTGTCGAGTTATCAAATGGCTCTACTTGCCCCTGCTGAAAACTTGCGGTTGCCTTCGCCTTGGCCCTGTCGCCTTGGCCCCTGATTTTTTAACACCTGTCACTCACAGAAACCGTCTATGCTATGCGTAATCAGTTACTAATCCTTCAGCATAGTGTACATCTTGTGTATTGCAGTGAAACCTGCATGTGACTTGCGTAAACCGCCCAATTAATGTTGCTCTCTGACTGTTGGTCTTGTCTTCTTGTTACATTAGAGCTGCATGTGATGGTTGCTCATTATTAAGAATGTGCACTAAAAAGGTAATTATTGCTTTACTACTTCAAGTGATCCCAAACTCCATTTTTCTGCTCCAAACATGCTTCAAAACACAAGTTTTTAGCTTCAAAGGTGCTCCTAAATGCAGTTACTTCTGCATCACAGAAGTCATCTTCCCGATCCCATTAACGTGTGATGCATGCTATATAGGCCATACCGGTAGATGCATCAGTGATAGGCTGAACGAACACAAGAATAACGTGGCCAAGGCACAGCCTGAGGGTTTTCTTGCAATTCACTGCAAAGAATGTGGGTGCCAACCCCTCTTTAATCGCACCAGCATAATCGGAAGAAGCACTAACCAAATGACAAGGCTCATTATAGAAGCGAAATTCATTGCCAAGTTTGGGGAGGCCTGTATAAGCAAGCCATCGGTATCATTATCATTGAAAGAATTGCAATATTTGGATGCCGCATGAGTGTCAGTAGATCACAATTTTCTGGTTCTAGCACGTGGTTGTGACGCGCCATGTTTGGATATAAGTATTGCTGTTTCTCGGATCAAACCGCATTGTTGAAAGTTAGCACCGTGTATGTGTTCTGTGGCACCGTGTATGTGTTCAGGACGGGACAGAGAAGTCCCGTCCTGGATGCGCTATACCTAGAACAACTAGGACAAAGCACTTACAACAGTGGCGGCGGTCACGTTGCAACTATTACGTCCCCGTCTGTGTGCTGGCTTTTCTTATTTTTCTCTACAGTTTTTGTTCATTAGCCAGTATGCTTCTGTGTTTCTTGTTCTACTGTGAGTGATTTTTGAGTGATTTTGTCAAATAATTTCTTGTTTCAGAACCACAAGGCCTACTTGCAAAAGAACCTCAAGGAATCAGAAAACAACCTTAGGGAAATGATTGTCCAAAAGCAAAGCATGCATTGACATGCAAAGTTTAGGTACTTAACATGTGACTAATTATTTATGCAAATGTTATGAAAATGTTTACCACATCAAGGATTATTGTAAACCTTTTGCACCAGAAGTGATGCTGTAAAATATGTGCACTAGTACCAGGAATCTTCATTTCCATGATTTTCCTGTTGGGAAGTTGTTGTTAGCTTATGTGGGAAATACTTTTGAACTTTTTGCTGCAGTTACATTGTTTTGTGCAAACAACCAGGAAGTCATTTTGTACACAGTGAATTTGCCTTCATTTTCCAAATAAAAAAATTGAAACTGAAAAACCTAAATGCCTACCAGGTGTTTTTATACCATAAATCTATCCTGTTGTCATTAATTTTGTGATAAGTAGGAAACAGTTTTTTTTTTGGGTGAGGAGCATAATTCAACTTTATGACATTTGCACTTGTGAAAGTTGTTGTATTATGAAATTAGTTGTGTCAGTTCAAAGTCTGTAGTTTCTCTGAAGAAGTTTCGAATTGCTACCCAATGCCATGCTAGCACTGTCTTCATAAGTACGGTTAAATTGCTCAGCAGCCTTGCATTTTATTCCTTTAGAAAATTTCTTAACTTGTAATCAAGCTTTTCCAAAGTTCTTTGACGTTACTGTTTCGAGGGCTTGTCTGCAATTGCAGTTGACTCTAAACCGTCTTTTCTTTTTGCGATAGCAAATATATGGGCACTCATGTTGTATTCTGTAATCAATGGCATTGACATAATTTTTGCCTTTATGCACTTCTGGAGTGAAACACTACATCAGTGCCTTGATTTGCCAAAATTTATTGTTAACAGGGTAATTACATAGAAGCTTGATTGTGCTGATTTATGTGGGTTTCACCTAACTGATTGTCTAAAACATTCTAAAATGTGCGTAGACCTATATGAAATTCCATTATTTCTGCAATGTTCATTCAGCCTTCGTGTTTTCGGTTCTATACATTGCAAGCAGTCGTCGCAAGTGTACTTGTTGGGCCATTGTATGCCTGGTGAGGTCCTGCCTATCTGCAGTGTGAATGAAAATCACCTAATTGTCTTTTATGCTGCCTAAGTGATGCATAACATATGATTAAGAATTTATTAAATGGCATATCTGCTAATCTGCTTAATTGAGCTATAAATAAATACTCCCATTGCTATGTACTGATGTCTCACGAACAGAAAAGCTGGCATTAATATTTTCTTCTATTTTTGACAGGTCGTCACAAAAACTTGCATACTTCATATTTTGGAGGGGTTTTAATTATTCTACCGGGTCTACACAAAGTTAATTTTGTTGTAGCAATAGAATCTCGGTGTTTCGTTCAGCTGTCATTCCAAAATGATTCAAACATACTATTCCCTGTTAGCCTGTCGTTTTCTCTGCGGTTAGATTAGTCTAGATGCCCGGCCAAAGAGGACTAATATGAGAAAATAACAGATGGTTTGGTGAGAATGACCCTTAGCGGTAATGCATGTTCTGACAATGCTTTAGCTGTCGTAAGTCTTGCTTGGTTCATTGAGCAAACAATTAGGCTAGGCTTTTGTGTCACTACTGTTAAACTTCGGCTTGAGCGAGTTGAGTGATACTTGGTTAAAAGAGACTTGGACCGAGACGAGGTCAAGAAAGGCAATCACCATGAGCACTGTGGTGTTGAAGCCCGTCATTAAAGAGGCCCTGCAACACTTTTTCAGCATAGTTAGAAAATCCAGCCACCGCCCCGCCGCGGGGGTCTAGTGGCTAAGGTACTCGCTGCTGATCCGCAGGTCGCGGGATCAAATCTCGGCTGCGGTGGCTGCATTTCCGATGGAGACGGAAATGCTGTAGGCCCGTGTGCTCAGATTTGGCTGTATGTTAAAGAAGCCGCAGGTGGTCGAAATTTCTAGAGCCCTTCACTACCGCGTCTCTCATAATCGTGTGGTGGTTTTGGGACGTTAAACCCCACATATTGATCAGAAAATTGAGCCGATCAATAATACAGGCATCTGAGTAGATGCGAGCCAAACATTTTAGCGCATCATGTGGCTTGAAATTTGCAAGCAGTTCTCAAAGTCAGCTAGAAATCTTTCCCTCTTCGATAAATGTTATATAATAAACCCAAATAACACTGCCATAAGGCCACAGTCTGATGCCGTGGTGACATTAAATGCAAGCTGCGGGTTCGAAAAAAAAAAAAAACGCCAGGCCTGTGCCGAAGAAGCAGCACAGTTGGAGCGAAAGCTAGAAGAGCGGCCTTTCAGAGCCTTTTGAGAACTTCTGCAAGCACACTTGCTTGATGCCCACTAGGACATTAGTAATAAGTTTTTTTTGTGTGTGTGTAGTAGGCCCGCATTCGCAATGCTATTTTTGTCATTCTTTGTGGTATCCACTAAACACTTGCTAGGAACTTTGTGCCAATTGTTCATGCAGTGGCTGACGACGATGAGGAATTATCGCTGAAGTGGGTATGCGCCACAGTTAATAGGGGAACAAGAACAAGGTTTTGTAATGGGTTCGAGCATTGGATGGCCCACTCTTTACTCTATTCGCATTGTGCGACGACTGGTTGTTCTTTTTTTTTTAAACACTTTTAAGTCGTATTAACGCGATTGCTTTCCCGACATCAAGCCTATCCAAGGCAAGTTTGCCGACAAGTCACAAGCACCGGCGTAGCTCAGTGGTAGAATACTGGGCTGGCACCCACCGGACCTGAGTTCGAGTCCCACTGTGTCATTGGTAGCTAGTAATTTCGCGCGATGTGGTTACGGACACCGGCGGCGGCGGTGGACAACTGCGCGTGACTCGAGTTGTGGTCTCATAACAGGTTTCGCTGTAAAAAGGAATATGGCTGCGCCTAACAGGGTCGACGTGGCACTTTCGCTGGGCTGTGGGCGCTGTGTTGAAGTTTCTTGATTGTGGCGTCGGATCACGTTGCTTCGTCGTATACGCAAAAGGGTGCTGGCAGCGGACCGCCTCCTTCATCGGCATAAAGGATCTCGCTGGCAAAACAGCCGAAATGGTGGAAACAGCGAAAACCGCATCAAATTTACTTCAAGTTGAAGAACCTGTCTAGCGAGCGAAATCAAGGTTGAAGAAGGCAACTGCGCATGTGTAACAGCCTCTCCGAAAGGTGATAGTACTTTTGTGTTGCGTTGTCACACTGTTACAGGCAAGGCTTTAAAGGAGCATTGAAACACTTTTTCAAGTAACCATGGAATGAATTCACTGGAAGAGCTTATAATATTGCCTCACAAATTCAATGCCACAAAAATTTATAGAATCTGTTCAGTGCGAGTGGAGTTACAAAGATTTATCGCATGCTGCAATTGCGTTCTCTTTCCTCGTCCAGACGAAAGTGGTGAAAGCTAGGCAGGGGCAAAGAAAATACGTCACGCGAGCCTCGTGGTCTGGAGCCCTTTTTCTTGTAATACGCGGCTTTTTCAGTGTGATCGCGCGCGCACGCGTGGACAAGTCGCGGCCTCTCGCAGCGATATCTGAAACGACAAGGCGCTCCAGGTTCAAATCAGCCAATAGCTGATAGATTGTTTTCTACGAGTGATGTTTGGGCGTGTTCCGTCATTTGTCGAGAGAAGAGAAAATAATTTTTGCTGACTTCGATCATTGTGAGCCCCGCCGCGGTGGCCTAGGGCTAACGTACTCGGCGGCTGACCCACATGTCACGGGATCGAATCTTGGCTGCGGCGACTGCATTTTCGATGGAGGCGAAAATGCTTAGGCCAGTGTGCGCCCAGACTTGAGTGCACGTTGAAAAAACCCAGGTAGTAGAAATTTCCGGAGCCCTCCACTACGGCGTCTCTTGTAAACATATGGTGGTTTTGGGACGTTAAACCGCACGTATCAATAAAATAATTTATTGTGAATTCCAGGCCGCGTGCTGCGCTATATTATTTAGTTGGCGTGTGCTCGTGAGGCTGTACTACCGATCGTCACAGTTTTTTGACCATGCTGTTGCAGAGCTCCTGTAACAGTTTTCGAGATAACTACAGGTGCGACTCGCGCTACCGATTGCACGTATCTTATTCAGTTCAGTTGTCCTGTAAAAAGCTGAACACGCATGCCGTTCATGTGATCACAGAACGGGGATAGCCTGGGTCAGTGTATGTTGAGATAAGGCAAATCGTAGTTTTGATTGGCATAGGAGTGCAACTTTCTTTTCGTTCGCCGATCCATGTTATTGGGTTTCTAATAAATAAGGTCATGTGCTTCCGAATACTTGTTTGCTCGTCTTGGTAGTAGTTGATATTCAAATCAGCTATATGCATGCAGACTACGCACGCTGCGAATGCACGGACATGTATATATACGCACGAACATGCACGCGCGACCTTCCCGCGCGAACGTGTGTGCGTGTATATACACACGTGCGATATAAAAATGTTCGGGAGGAAGGGTTACAACAGCTCAATTTTACAATATAGGTGGCACTACGACTTGCGCAGAAAACACGCATGTGCGAAAAGTATAGTCACACACGTAACACATGAAATCGCCTAAAATGCTTGCTTATATAAACGAAACTATACTCCGCGCTTGGAGATGCCCGAACACTGATAAGATAGGACACACGATAAGTAATAATGTACTAAACGAGGAGAATTAAGTCATCGCGAGCGAACTTATTGGAACAAACTACTGTAGTATCCGCCGTCTTCTTTCCAATGCGTTTGTGCTGTTCTCCCTCGCGCGTCGTCTGCATGCTTCAGGAAGTAATAGAACGATACGATAATTTTCATCTTTCTATCGCGATGATACGAATTGCGGCACACTGCATTGGTCTTTGGACATTGCTTTCTTCTTCTGCGGGCTTTCGCGTGCGGCATGGTCAAAATATTGGGACTTTGCGGCCGCTTCTCAGTGCGCGCAACGTGGTAACATATCTTTTAAACGTCGACCCTGTTCACGGCCGGGCTAGAGTGCACCTGCGTGCTCAGAAGCGCGCGCAGGTGCAGTCTAGCCCGGCCATCACCTGTTAGCGCTGTTTCCAGGGGCGACCGCTAGGTGGCGAGTGTTCCCTTGGAGTTGTTTTCTCGGAATCGTTCCCTTGGACGATTCCAAAATAGCACCATTATCTAAGATAGGCAGAGTCCGGGGCAGAAATAGACGTAGCCACGAGGGCCGAGCCAATTCAGACATAGGGTATATTAACATTCAGGGTGGCAGGAACAGGCTGAACTGGGAAGAGATGAAAGAACAGCTAAGGGAGGAGAGGCCGATGGTATACTGTTTTGTAGAAACACATCTTAGGGACATGGAACAACCTCCTAACAATCTGGACTACGCGTGGGAATATTGTAATAGATCAGAAGGCAGCAG